GTGGGGGCTGCCCTGCTCCCGGGACATCTCCTTCTCTTTCAGCCTGCATTCGGGGTGCCCCAGATAGGAAAAACCCGCCGGAGGATTTTACAAAGACCTGAAGTCCCTCACGGATTCCCCTTCTGTCCCAATCCAAGTCACTTCTAAGAACACCTCATTAAAGCGTGGATCTTTCTGTTTTTAAGTGAGCGTTAGGTACTCGCCCCCAGCTCGAGGAGGAACTGTAGGTCCTGCTCGTGGTGGATTGCTGAGACCAAGGCTCAACTCCTCTCGTGATATTCTCAAGAATCCTGCTGGGGTCTTTGAAAGTTGTAGATGCAGAAGCTGCCCATCTGAGCTGCCCTGGGAGGGGAGCGTGTCCCCACCCTGGAGCGTCGGAGTCGCGTCGGCCGAAGCGTCACGCGGAGAAAACCATCTGGGAACAGCTGTGGGGCCTGGGGGGGACACGTCGAGGGCTTTGGGGTTTGGTGTGGCACTTCCCACACCCCTGCAGGGAGTCACCAGACAGAATGCAGTATCGGGGAGGCTGGTGGAGCAGTGTCCGAGCGGGAAGGGCTCGAGGAACGGAGCGTCTGGGGCTCCCCCCGAGCGGGTTTGGGAACGTTCCTCAGCCCAGCAGGAGGGAGGAGCAGAGACTGCGGCGGGGTCTCCGCTGGTGTTGTGAGGAGAGGGACTCAATCCCCCTAAGCAGCCCGGGGGCATTTGGAGCGGGGTGGGGACGGGGGAGAGCTCAGCAGAGCTCCCCCCTCGGGGCGCTGAGCCCCACCTGGGTCTGGGGTGCACGGGGACGGGCAGAGCTGGGTCTGAGCTGTGCAGGTCTGGGGACAGGTGCCAAGAGGTTACGATACGGGTGCTGGGGCCTGCCATGTACAGTGTGAATAAACGCTTGCAGCTCTTAGTCTTTTTTTGATCGATGAAGCACTTTTTTATTAATATTATTTTTCTTTGTATGTAAAGGAGGAACCAGTATCTCTCCCTAGCTGTATATATATAAACCTTCTCTCCTCCAGAGAGTAAAGTGCTCCTCTATTTTTCATTTTTTGTCAAAAGCGAGAAGTAAATACTTTAGAATTGTTAAATATATAAATAAAAGTGAATAAAGTTTAGACTTTTGCATGGGAGCATTTGCTAACACACTTTCTAGTTTATTTTTATTTTTATTCCCTGTCCTTCGTTAGGGGAAAAATTTGAGGT